AAATTAGATAGTTAGTCTTATAGCAACACATTTCCTAGCCTATGTAGTTTCTAATCTACCAACATCCTATTCTATTCTAAGAGGATTCACTAGCATTATTGCTTTCACTGTCATCACTACTACTGCCACTATCATCATCACTACCACTGCCACTCTCAGAGGTTTCAACAATTGTGGCTCTGTTTTTGCCCTTCCTCCAGGTAGGCAGTTCCCATGCAGCTTCTTCTGCAGCCCTCTCTCTCTCCCTTGTTGCAGCCTCTTCTGCCTCTTCCCGTGCGCGTGTAGCTTGCTGCTGCTGCTTCTGATGCTGCAACGCGTTTCTTCAGCTGATGGGACCGCCGTCGCTTCACCGGGCGTGATCCTTCAGCCATGACCACCTCACGCGCCGGCCGCCTCTTTTTGCCGCCACAAAACCTATCCACCAGCTCCTCTGTATTCAGCTCGTAGTCCAGAAGAGACACCGTCATCACGTCGCCCAGAGTCGTGTGGCACAAGCTGCCGCGCACCCAGCTCTTAATGATGTTCTGACGGCTGAAGCCGCGCTCACACTCAACAGTGCTGAGCGGTAGCACAGCAGCAGCAATCCACAGGCGGCCGAGGCTCGAATAGGCAGACTCCCAATCTGGCGTTGAGAGCATCTGAGAGAGGCTGTCGTGGAAGGACAGGTCCTCGTGGTGAGTGGAGAGGATTGTGGTGAAGCTGGTGAGCTCTTTGGCGGCTTTGCCCCAGTCGACACCTGATGGGGAGGGTAGGGAAGGGTGAGGGACATCGGGTATCACAGCAGAGAGTACATTAAGGCACGGCAGCAATAACAGCTACATGAATGATACGCTCACCCCAAAGCAAAGTGCTTACCAGGGAGGGTGTCTGGATGGCTGGGCTTCTTCTTGAACAAGTTGCGCAGCGACTGAAGCCATTCGGGAAATCGGCGCGCTCTCTTAGCGCGCGAACGAGGGTACCGTCCCTGCCGAAACAGACGACTCCCGTCCAACGACTTTAGACTCTTCATGCGATTGTCGATGTAAAACACGGTCCTCCCAGCGAACTTGGATGCCGCCTCCACGCACGACGCCAGGTCGCCCCCAAACTTCTCCTTCCCGATTAAGTCCTCGTGCAGCACGTACGAGTGAGTTACGCGTGTTCCGACGCCGTCAATGCTTTCCACCTTCACCTCGCGATTCTCGGTGCTCCCGTGGTTCTTCAGAAACGTCGCTAGACGACCACTGTTGTCGCCGAAGGTGGAGCCGTACTCCACGTAGCGACTTGTCAAGCACAGGGTGGTGTGTTGCACCATCGACCGAACCTGCGTCGCATCGAGCTGCACATTTCACACAAACAGAATTAGTCACGGCACGGAAAGCCAGGGGGAAATCAGGCAAGACATCGGGAATCACGCGTCCTTACCTGACGTCGCTGGAACTTGAGATTGAGGCTGTTCAGCTCCTGAAGCACGTCAACCAGAAAGAAAAGGAAGAACTGAAATTTCATACTGGTAACAAGAGTGTACGTTGCCTTGTCGTACTCGTGCAGCAGGACAACGGCAGCAGGCAGCACGTCAGCAAAGCGCTCGATGGCGTCCCCGCGTGAAAGCCAGCGAACGTCTTTAATCCCTTGCATCTCCAAGTTGGTCTGTGTAATAACTTCCTGCAGATTCTTGAATCGCGCATGCTGCACGATGCTGCGACCGAGAATGTCCGCGAAGGCCCGGACGACTTTGTCGACGACGTTAAACTCGGGGAACTCTTCAGCAGCATCTTTAGCAGCCAGAGCCTCCCTGCAGTCGTAACAAGAGTAGGATTAGTGGGCGAGTTACACAACACAAAAATAAACACAACGACAAACTACCTGTGGGCAACGCAATGGCAAGGCACTATGTGCGGCACCCGTGTTCGTAATCGCGCCACCAGACCTGTCTGCCCGCCCGTCATAACGCTCGCGCCGTCCGTGGTCATGTCGCTGATCCTCTGCAGCTCGAGGCCGCAAGCAGCAAAGTGTGTCAGCAGGACGGCCTCCAGCGACCCGGCGTCGCACTTCTCAACGGACAAGTTGGCGAAGAACTCGGTAACCACCACCGTGCCACGGAGAAACGTGGCATACACAATCATGTGTTTGCCACGCCTACGGTCGGTGCTTTCGTCAAGTTGAAGGCCAACGTAGGGACTAAGGCTGATGTGCTGCATTTGGAGGGGCCTCCGTGCGAGGGTCTACAGCCATCTCGGTGGAACTACAAACTGACTAACTCTGGCTCACGAGGGGAAGATGAAGGACACATGACGCAGAGGGGAGTGAGGGGGGACCGTCCGAACCGTGCTGCATGCAGGAACGTCTCGTTCGCTGCTACGGTAGAAGCAGCCATGCCATCAATCCCTTGCTGACTCGACGCGCACTGAAGGCTGTCGGTGTTGCAACTGCAGCCTTCTGCCGTGCGCTGGCACGAATATGCCAAACGAACTGGCAAGATTCGTGCCAGCGGGGTGACTGCGGCGCATTTGACGTGCGGTGTTGTCACCGACCAAAGGCAATGTACAGCCTGGCGGTGGCAGCACGGTAACGCGGCGGGTGGCAAGTCTCGTCCGTAACATTGGGCATCAAGCCATGTGGCCAACTAGCCAGGTGGGGGGATTTGTCTGTTTCAGACGAGAAAAAACTCGTTGTCTGCAAGTCTCAGACGAACTGTATAAGGCTGTCTGAGAAATCAGACGAATTTGAAAACTCTGTCCTAAACCATCAGACGAAATTAAACAGGTCGTCTACGACATCAGATGAAGTAGTAAAAAAATGTTCAAAATCCAGAAAATCAGACCTAAAATTTCTGATAAAGTAAGCCCTGCTCATCTCCCTTTTTTGTAAAACATAATCAAAGAATGCAGCTCACGCGCCCTGCACAAAGTAAAAACAGAGAATGCAACACACACCCTGCACAAGAAAGCAAAAACAGAGGATGCAACTCATGTACCCTGCGAGGAGGCCAAGGAGGAAACAACTCACCCACACTGCATAAGAAAAACAAAAACAAAGAGAGTACACCTCATAGCATTGCACAAGACGACAAAAGCAGAGAATGCAGCTCACACACTAGAGACGAAATAAGCACAACAGAAAAAGATGAGCAATCGATTTGACAGCTCACAGAGGTAAATTGGTATTAGTCATGGCACCACAGATACTACACCAGCATGATGCCATACCTTGAAGCCACCTTCAAGTTCAACTTTGCACTCACGTTCGCACTCAATCTTGTACTTAGTCCCGCACCCACTCACACACGCACAAATACTCTCGACTTTTTAGACACACCCACAGAAACACATATAAAAACCTACACGTTCACTCTGGCACTTACCCTCGCACTCATTATCATTTTCATTCCCAGTCATATTAACACAAATTCTTACACGTGCACGCAACGACACTCACACATCGTCAGAATGTGTAGTTTGTCTAGCCTGCAGTGGGGTACTCTATAGCGAGTACAACCCAATTAGGGTTTCCTTATATGTATCTCAACTGCTGCTAGTGCAAATCCTCTTTCCTGTTTCTAGTTTCTACCTACTGATTCTGACACCTTGCACTCACACTCGCACTTGCTCTCGCATTCACCTTAAGACACACACTTGCACGCAGTCTCGCTCTCAACCTTGCACTTACACGCACACCCACTCATCCTCGCACTCACCCTTGAACTACCCTCACACTCGAGCTCACACTCACCCCAAACCCTACACCATCATATTTACACTCACATTCACTCTCGCACTTGCTCTAACTCTTGCTCTCGTACTCACCCTCGCGATCACCTAAACACACACCCTCGTACTTCCTCTCATATTCACCCGCATACATGCACTTGCACGCACCCTCGCACTTACCCTCAAGTACATGCGCGCACTAACACTCGCACTCACACCCGCTTTCGCACCCGGATTAAAAACGGCCCTCTCACCCTCACACACTCTTGTACTCACTCTCTCAACCACTCACGGACGCACAATTGATTCCAACTGTTCTTAGACACACCTTCAGAAACACAAACACACACCCTCGAACTCACGCACTCACTCGAACACTTTCACACTCACAAGCCCACACAGTCGCCGGCACGGTGGCACCCTTGAACTCAACTCACACCCACACCCACACCCACGTTCACGCTCACACTCGCCCTCGCACTCACACTCGCACCCACTCTTCTACTTGCCCTCACACACCATCTCACACACCCTCGCACTCACACCCGCGCTCACGCTTGCACTCAACATCGCAGCCGCCATCAAACTCACCATCGCACTCACTCTTGCACTCACTCTTCACTCAAACACATGTAATGTACTCTCAACTCTTCTTCGACAATCACAGAAACACACACACAAACTCTTGCACTCATCCTCGTACTCACCCTAGCACACACTCAAACGGATCTTCGCACTCCCACTTGCACTCACACACACACTCACACTCGTACTCACCCTCAAACTCGCCCTGGCACTCACTCTCACAATTGCTTTCGCACTCACACTTGCGCTTACGCTCGCACCTGCTCTCTCGTTCACACTCGCACTTGCCCTTGCCTTCACAACCGCACTCACCCGCAAGTGCACGTGCACATCCGAGTCTCGCCCTCACGTCGCCCGTGCCCAAGCCGCCAGTGCAAGCGCCCACGGCGCCCGCGCCCACTGCACCAGTGCCTTAGGCGCCAGCACCCACGGCGCTCGCGCCCAAGGCACCAGCGCCCACAGCGCTAGCGCCTCATGGAGCAGCACCCACGGCGCTCGCGCCCTAAGCGCAAGCGCGTTAGGTGCTAGCACCCACGGAGCCCGCGCCAACGGCGCAAGCGCCCACGGCGCCAGCGCCCTAAGCGCAAGCACCTTATGCGCCAGCGCACATGGCGCAAGAGCCTTAGGCGCAAGCGGCCACGGCGTCTGCGCCATAAGCGCAAGCGCCTTAGGCGCCAGCAACCACGGCGCTTGCGCCCACAGCCCCAACGCCCTAAGCGCAAGCGGCTAAGGCACAAGCGCCAATAGGGCCCGCGCCGACAGAGCAAGCGCGCACGGCGCTCTCTCTCGCGCCTCTCCCTCTAGAGCTTCCTTATCTCTCTCGCGCGCACTCTCTTGCGCTCTCGCTCCCTCGCGCTCCCTATCCCCCCTCTTAAAATAGTAGTGCAAAGCAAGAGACCAATCAACACACAGAAACTATAAATACGATAGGAAAAATCGGAAATATAGGACCTTTCAGTAGGGGGAAGGGAGGAAAAAAGGACCGGGAAGGGTAAACGCACCTGCAATTCACGGTGCAGAGTCAAACCCGCCGCCCGCGCACCGGCTCCCACTCGCGCACCATCTTGCTCGTGACCTGTCGACAGAGGCGGCGGCGGGATGGGAGGGTGAGGCGACGGCGGGATGGGAGGGAGGAGACGGTGGGATGGGAGGGAGAGGCGACGGCGGGATGCGAGGGAGAGGCGACGGCGGGATGGGAGGGAGCGGCGACGGCGGATGGGAGGGAGTGGCGACGGCGGGAGGAGGGAGCAGCGACGGCGGATGGGAGGGAGCGGCGACGGCGGATGGGAGGGAGCGGCGACGACGGATGGGAGGGAGCGGCGACGGCGGGAGGAGGGAGCAGCGACGGCGGATGGGAGGGAGTGGCGACGGCGGGAGGAGGGAGCAGCGACGGCGGATGGGAGGGAGCGGCGACGGCGGATGGGAGGGAGCGGCGACGACGGATGGGAGGGAGCGACGACGGCGGGAGGAGGGAGCGGCGACGGCGGATGGGGGGGAGCGGCGACGGCGAATGGGGGGGAGCGGCGACGGCGGATGGGAGGGAGAGGCGACCGCAAGGAGGAGGGAGAGGTGACGGCGGGGAGGAGGGAGAGGCCAACACGGGGAGGAGGGATGGGCGACGGCGGGGAGGAGGGAGAGGCCTCGGCGTAGTGGGAGGGAGAGGGGATGGCGGGCTGGAATCGAGAGAGGATGGCGGGGTGGGAGGGAGTAAGGATGGAAAGGTGGGTGGAAGGGTAAGGCAACAGCTGGTGGGGGAGAAGTGATGATGGGGTGGGAGGGAGTGCCAAACAAGAAACTACAGTAAACGAAAACAATGTGGGGAAACAGATCATATTGGGGCCGAACATTAGCAGAGGGGTGATCATAGTAGGGCCGGAAAATCTCGACCGTAGGATTTCAACCCGGAGCTGACCAAACAACTCGGCGAACAAGCCGAACCATGAGTAAACGAAAATTGCTAAAACAAACCGAATTTTGTGCTCATTTTCTGTATTGAAGGTTTTGACCGCCGTCTACTACAACGCGCGCATCGCCTTCTTCTGGAATGAAAATTTGGCGTGTCAGATCGTGAGTGCGTAACAAGAATAATTTATTCTTGGTGATACGGATAACCTACCCGATCGGAAACAGCACAGGAAAAAAATATTACCCATTCCGAAACGGATGCGACTCGGGAGGCATCAACCCTAAATACCAGGAAGGTCCCCTTCATAAGGTTGATCCATCCCGAAATTGCATCCAGGTTCACTATGAGTTTTAACCTTTTTGGCTGCCCTAGAGTTCCCAGTAGATTCAGCTCACTAAACGACACGCGAGCGAAAATGCGAGCCGGTACATGCCACTAGTAACAGAATTACATGCAAAAAACGAAGACCCTCTGTTAATTCCTCCTCGCACAGTGGTTTGGCAAGTTCCGGGCCTCTCAGGCCCCTGGTTGATCACCCCTTTGGCGCTGATCGGACCCTCTATGATCTTTTCCCAACAATGGGGCAATCTGAAAGCCAGCATAGAGCTTGGGCACTTGGAATTCAAAACAAAAACCAAACGCTGGTGCTACGTGAGAACACACGGATAATTACGTGAAATTTGTGTGAGCTGGAAAACAACTCATTTTCAACCACACTTGAGCTAGAGCAAGAACATGTCAGAACATTATAGCTTACTTATTTGTGTAGGCTATAGTGGGGTATCCCATAGGGGGTACAACCCAATTAGGGTTTCCTAATTGTACTCACTTCATTCATAGTCATTTCATTCTCGTTCACTTCTTCTCATGGTATCGAGCAGGTTCCCCTGTGGGAACCTGTGCTTAGGGCCCACCACCACTACCTTGAATTTTTTTTTTTCTGCCCTAGCAGCTAGCGCGCCGCCCGCCCTAGCAGCCCGAGCGCCACCTTAGCGCCCGCGCCCCGCTGCCCGCCCTAGCGCCCTAGCGCCCGCGCGCTGCCCTCCCTAGCGCCCTAACGCCCTAGCGCCCCGCGCGCTGCCCTACGCAGAGCGTGAGCGGCTCGCGTGAGCCGCCCGTGCGCCGCCCAGAGCTGCCCGTCAGCTGCCTGCCCGTGCGCTAGCCGCCCGACGCGCCAGCAGCCCGACGCCCGCTAGCCGCCCGACGCCCACTAGCTGCCCGACGCCCGCTAGCCGCCCGGCGTCCGCTAGCCACCCGACGCCCGCGCGCCGCCCGACGCCCGCTAGCCGCCCGTCGGCCGCCCGTGCGTCGCCCTCAGCAGCCCAACGCGCCGCCCGTGCAGCCGCCCGTGCAGCCGCCCGTACAACCGCCCGTGCAGCCGCCCGTGCATCCGCCCGTGCAGCCGCCCAACGTGCCGCCCGTGAGCCGCCCCAGCCGCCCGTGCAGCCGCCCGTGAGCCGCCCGCGAGCCGCCCAGTGAGCCGCCCGCCACGACGCCCGAGCCGCCCGAGCCGCACGACCCGCCCGAGCCACCTGGGGAGCCGAGCTGCTGGTCCTGTGGGGCTGCTGTTGCAACTGGGCCGGCAGCTGCTGTGTTACCGTGTTCCTGTGCTGCTGAGCTGCCCGACCTGTCCTGTCTGGTGAGCACAGCTCCACTGCTACTGCGTGCCCCTCCCCGCACTGCTTGCACTGCTAGTCTGTCGTCATGGCTACCCCTAGTGTCCTAGCTTTTGACGCTGAGGGTCGCGCCATTGACTTTGAGGTCTGATCGACGTCCTGCAGCTGTTCTTACAGTGCGATAGGGCAGACGGTCTTTCTCTCTTTGACCTCACCTCTGGTGCCGTCCCTGCCCCTGCTGCTGATGCTGACGCCACTGTTCGCTCACAGTGGGCCACGCGCTATGCTGCTGCACGTCTTGCTGTGCGTCGCCACCTGCCTACCGCTGAGCGCGCGCACTTTAGCCAGTAGAAGAGTGCTCAGACCTTGTACGACGCTGTAGTTGCGCGCTACTCCTCCCCTGCCACTGCTGCACTGAGCCGCCTCATGCTCCCCTTCCTCTTCCCTGACCTTGCCGCCTTTCCCACTGTCGCTGACCTCATTACGCACCTCCGCACTAGTGACACTCGCTACCGCGCTGCGCTTCCTACTGACTTCTGCGCCAAGAACCCCCCCCCCCATGTACATCACTCTCTACTTTTTAGTCACTCGCCTCCCTGACTCCCTTCGTGTAGTCCGGGACCACTTCCTCGCGGTCTGTCCCACCACCCTCACAGTCGACAGCCTCGAGAAGGCCCTCCTAGCGACGGAGAAGATCATAGTCGCTATAGGAGCCTCTCGAGGTGACCCCCGCGCCCCCATCTTTGAGGGGTGTTCTCCTTCCCCCCTTTTGCCCTCAGTCGCCTCTGCTGCTGCGGCCGACCTCGTTGGTCTTGAGTCGGTCGGTGCGGCGTTTGCCCCTAGCGGGAGACGCCGCTCTGGCAAGGGCAAGGGGGGCAAGGGAGCGGGTGGGGCCAGCGAGGGCGGTGGAGGTGGCGGTGGAGGCGGCGGAGGGAGTGGGGGTGGCGGTGGAGGTGGTGGCGGGGGTGGGGGTACTAGTGGCGGCAGTGGAGGCGGGGGTGGCGGCGGCGGTGGCGGTGGGAGCGGAGGTGGCGGAGGCGGCGGCGGTGGAGGCGGAGGCGGGGGTGGCGGTGGCGGTGGGAGTGGCGGTGGTGGAGGTGGTCGGAGTGGCACTTCGCAGCGGAGCAGCACTAGGGGTGGTCAGCGCCAGCAGCAGCAGCAGCAGCGTTCTCGCGACCTCCTGACGCCTCAGCAACTCCGTGAGTGGTACACGCAGCGTCAGCGTGGTGGGGGTTTTGGTCCCTGCACCTACGTCCTTCGCACTGGCGACCGTGCTGGAGAGCAGTGTGGGGGTACCCACACCGCCCAGCGCTACTTTGGCCGCCTGACGGACGCTTGGCGCCAGCAGTTCCCGGAGGCCGCGGAGATCCCCCGCTGGGGAGAGCTGTCTAGGGCTGGTGTAGCTATCTTTGATCTTGACTTTGATGCTATCCTTGCTGCCATGTATGCTGTGACCATTAGTGATGAGGGTGACTGTTACCGGTGTTTCCCGCCCGACCCGGGCATTGGTACTGCTGCTCTAGGTGTCAGCGAGGCTTCTGCTCTAGGTGCCAGTGCGTCTGTGCTCTCAGGTACTGGTGAGGCTACTCTCTCAGGTACTAGTGAGTCTGCGCTCTCAGGTACTGCGTCGGTCCTCGGCCTCCCACACCTTCACTCTTGACTCTCGAGCGTCTCGCTCCTTCTTTCGGGACCGCACCACACTCACGCCGCTTAGTCGGCCGGTTGCGGTGTCTCTGGCTTACCCCTCCGGGGGTCCTGTCCTGTTTCGCTTCTCCACAGTCCTCCCGTGTCCGGCGGCTCCCTCTGGCACCCTGTCTGGTCTCTACCTCCCCTCGTTCTCTACGAACTTGGTGAGTGGTGCTGACCTACAGGATGCGGGAGTCCACCAGTTCACCCCTGCTCGTCAGCGGGTGACGCACTGCACAGAGGCTAGCACAGGTCGTCACCTGGCTACGTTTACACGTCAGCCAGGGTCGAGCCTGTACACACTGACCACTGCTTCTCCTCCAGTTCCTGAGTCTGGTAGGGTCCCCTCGTCTGATCAGGTATTTGCTACAGCGTCCAGGTCTGGTCCTGAGTCTGCCCCCTGTTCGTGTCGTCGCCTGTCTCACGAGACTCTCCTCTGGCACCACCGCCTGGGTCACCCCTCCCTGCTTCGGCTCAGAGGCATGGCCTCCCGTCTTCTTGTGTCTGGTCTTCCCCGATCCCTCCCTCCCCTTCCTCAGGGCCCTGGCCCTGCCTGTGTCCCCTGTGTCGAGGGGCGCCAGCGTGCTGCCCCTCACTCCTCCCAGTTTCCTCCGACAGAGGCCCCGCTGCAGAAGCTTCACATGGACGTGTGGGGCCCAGCCCGCGTCTGTGGACAGGTTCACGAGCGCTACTTCCTGTTGGTGGTTGACGACTACTCGCGTTACACCACACTCTTCCCCTTGCGCAGCAAGGGTGATGTTACTGAGGTGTTGATCGGCTGGATCCGCGCAGCTCGTCTCCAGCTCAGGCAGAGCTTTGGCTTGGACTTTCCTGTTCTGCGTCTGCACTCGGACAGAGGCGGAGAGTTTTCCTCTGGCCTTCTGCGTGCCTACTGCCGTGCGCGAGGCATTCGTCCGACCTTCACGCTTCCGGACTCACCACAGCAAAATGGGATTGCAGAGCGCCGCATTGGCATGGTCATGGACGTCGCTCGTACGTCCATGATGCATGCGGCTGCCCCCCATTTTCTGTGGCCGTTTGCGGTCAGGTACGCGGCGCATCAGATCAACCTCCACCCCAGGGTCTCCAGGCCGGAGACCTCCCCAGCCCTGCTGTGGACGGGGAAGGTTGGCGATGCGTCGGCGTTCAGGGTCTGGGGATCTCGGGCGTTTGTCCGCGACTTGTCTGCGGACAAGCTGTCCCCTCGTGCTGCTCCCTGCGTCTTCCTGGGGTTCCCCCCCGACGCCCCTGGGTGGCAGTTCTACCACCCCACCTCTCGCCGTGTTGTGTCCTCCCAGGACGTCACGTTCGACGAGCCGGTACCCTACTACCGCCTCTTCCCCTACCTCACTCCGTCCCTCCCCCCACCCCCGCTCTTCTTGGTAAAAGGTCCCCCCCTGGTCGACCCCCTTCCCCCTCAGGGTCCTGCCCCTTCAGGTGTGTCCCTAGGTAGACGCGGTCGAGCCTTTCGAGGTCACTGGTGACTCTGGTGCTGCTGTGGGTGCTGAGCCTAGGGGTGCTGTGACTGGGGGTGCTGTTCCTGGGGGTGCTGAGTCTCGGGGTGCTGAGCCTGGGGGTGCTGGGCCTGGGGGTGCTGAGCCTGAGGGTGCTGAGCCTGGGGGTGCTGAGCCTGGGGGTG